GGAAGAGGTGGGGAAGAGGTGGAAGTGATGGTGATAGGAGGAAGGAGGGTGAAGAGGGGGGATGGCGGAAGGGAAGTGGAAGAGAGAGAAGGGAAGCGAGGAAGAGGGAGAGAAAGGTGTCGAGGCAGTAGACTATAACAGGGTTTGATTCATGTTAGTGTGAATAAACCTTCCTCAGTACTGTCTCACCTTCTGTCTCACCTCCCGTCACCTCTTACTGTCAAAATGTCTCCTAGGACCACCCATAGTCGCACACGTCACTGTCCCATACCTGTCTAATCACTGATTATCCCACCGCCCGCCCGTCCAACTTGGCTCTTGACATGACACACATACACGTCACTTCTGTTCTTGATGAGGCAGACGAGAGGGTGTAGGTGGTGGGTGGGGGGGGTGGTAGGGAGTGGTGGTGGTGGTGGTGGTAGTGGTGGTAGGGAGTGGTGGTGGTGGTGGTGGTGGTGGTGGTGGTAGTGGTGGAGGGCAGGGTGGTGGTGGAGGGCAGGGTAGTGCGTGGTGGTGGTGTGGTGGTGGTGGAGTGGTGTTGGTGGAGGTGGTAGGTAGTGGTGGTGGGGAGGTGGTGGAGGTGGTGGTGGTGGAGGGGGGTGGTGGTGGTGGGGGGTGAGGGGTGGTGGAGGTGGTGGTGGTGGAGTGGTGGTGGTGAGGTAGGGTGTTGGTGGAGGGTAGTGTTGGTGGAGGTAGTGTTGGTGGAGGGTAGTGGTGGTGGTGGTGGGGTGGAGGGTGGAGTGGTGGTGGTGGAGGGTGAGTGGTGGTGGAGGTGAGGTGGTGGAGGTGGTGGTGGTGGGGTGGTGGTGGTGGGGTGGTGGTGGTGGGGTGGTGGTGGTGGAGGTGGTGGGTGGGTGGTGGTGGTGGTGGTGGTGGTGGTGGTGGTGGGGTGGGGTGGTGGTGGTGTGGTGGTGGTGGTGGAGGGTGGGGTGGTGGTGGTGGTGGGGTGGTGGTGGTGGGAGGGTGGTGGGTGGGGTGGAGTGGTGGGTGGAGGGTGGTGTTGGTGGAGGTGGTGTTGGTGGAGGGTGGTGTTGGTGGGGAGGTGGTGGTGGTGGTGGAGGTGGTGGTGGTTGGTGGTGGTGGTGGGGGTGGTGGAGGGTGGTGGGGGTGGTGGGTGGTGGTGGTGGTGGTGGTGGTGGTGGTGGTGGTGGAGGTGGTGGGTGGGGGGTGTTGGTGGAGGGTGGTGGTGGAGGTGGTGGGTGGAGGGTGTGTTGGTGGAGGTGGTGGTGGTGGTGGTGGTGGTGGGGTGGTGGTGGTGGGGTGGTGGTGGTGGGGTGGTGGTGGTGGTGGTGGTGGTGGTGGGGGTGGTGGTGGTGGGGGTGGTGGTGGTGGAGGTGGTGGTGGTGGTGGTGGTGGTGGTGGTGGTGGTGGAGGTGGTGTTGGTGGAGGGTGGTGGTGGTGGGGTGGTGGTGGTGGTGGTGGTGGTGGGAGTGGTGGTGAGGGGTGGTGGTGGGGGGTGGTGGTGGTGGTGGTGGGGGTGGTGGTGGTGGAGGTGGTGGTGGTTGGTGGTGGTGGAGGTGGTGGTTGGTGGAAGTGGTGGTGGGGGGTGGTGGTGGTGGAGGTGGTGGTGGTGGTGGTGGTGGTGGTGGTTACCTTACCTCATCCCTATATAGCGGTGATTACTGCCACCCTGCCCCCTGCCCCCTCACCTGCCTCTCACCCTCCCCACACCTCACCTGCCCTCACCTCCCACACTCACCTGCCCTCACCCTTCACACTCACCTGCCCCTCACCTCCTTCACACCTCACCTGCCCTCACCCCTTCACACCTCATCCTCCCCACCCCCTTATCCTTCACCCCTCACCTCCCTTACCCTTCACCCCCCCCTCTTACTTCTCCGTCCTCCTCTTCTCCCTCTCCTTCCGCCCACTCCTCTTATCGCCAGCAAGCAACGCCCAGAGAGACAAAGAGAGAGACAGAGAGACAAAGAGAGAGACAGAGAGACAATGAGAGAGATGGTGGGCGTGTCTCTCACTTCCTGGGTTTGTTTATATCGATGTTTTAAGTGACAGACGATGACTCACCTGTCGAGGATGATTACTGTGGTAGCTCCTGACGACCTAGTGACGATGATGGTGTATAGTGACGATGATGGTGTATAGTGACGATGATGGTGTATAGTGACGATGATGGTGTATAGTGACGATGATGGTGTATAGTGACGATGATGGTGTATAGTGACGATGATGGTGTATAGTGACGATGATGGTGTATAGTGACGATGATGGTGTATAGTGACGATGATGTGTATAGATGTAGTGATGATGATGATATACCTCCAACATTACAGCTTTCCTCTACCCCCCCACGTCACAAGACTTGCCCCTTCATCGTCTCATCTGTGCGCCGATAATACACCACTACCATCGTCGTCCTATCACGTCTCAGTTGCCAACACACGTCATCATCACGTCATCCACCCCCTATACCTACACCCACCAATCACCTCCTTCATTCCTCTCATCTCGCCTTTACGATATTCCCAGGGCTGTATCTGTACCTGTAACCTACCTGCACCAATAACTGTAGCCTACCTGTACCTGTAGCCTACCTGTACCTGTTGCCTCCTTGTACCTGTACCCACACAGCCCGTCTCTCCGTCTTCCCTTATGTATGCACAACCAGCTGAGAAGAGAGACCCCTACCTCCCTCACTAGGTACGGTGCTGTCAGAGTGCTGTCATAACTGGTACTGCTTTCACGGATATAATCTGTCTGTCTGTCTGTCTGTCTCAGTAGTTCCTCCACTATCTTACAGCTCTTCAGAGACCAGAAGCAGGTGTGTGTGTGTGTGATGCCACCGTACAGGTAAACAGTTCTTAATGACCTTCACCTGGCGCCGTACTTTTGACCTAACTCACTCTTAACTAAATCACTATAATTTTCTTTCTGTAAAATCACTCACTCACTCACTCAAATTCAACTTCTGTGTCGTAATGTGAGAATTAAGTACCGTTCTTAAATAAGTACCGGGTGGTGTAAGTAGCCTGAAGTAAGTAACAACATGGAAAGTAATTCGGCTATTTACTTCAGTCGGTTAAGTGTTTGTTTATTTTACCTGAGACCGGAACAAAAACGCTTAGCCGGATGTAAACAGGAAGTGGCGACGTCACACAAGAAAAGGTGATGTCACGCAGGGAAAGATGACGTCACACAGGAAGAAGCCAGGGTCATAAGAACATAAGAATGGAGTTAACTGCAGCGGGCCTATTGACCCATACTGGGCAGTCCCGTTTATACCCAGCCCCTATTGCTCATATAAGCATCCAACCTGTGTTTGAAGCTATCCAGCGTATTCGAGTTAATGATATTTGGTAACTTGTTCCATTCATCCACTACTCTGTTTCCAAACCATTGTTGACCTATTTCACGCCTAAATCTAAATTTGTCTAATTTAAAACCATAAAGCATCTTGAATACAATGAATGATCTAATACCGCGCACACACTCACAGAGGCTCTATCCCTATCTCTCTCTCACACACCCATCAGAGGAAACAAAGAAAAGAAAGAAAGATGATGATGATGATGATGATGATGATGATAGATGATGATGATGATGAACGCCCACACAGAGACCACAATACATCTGCGTCACCTTTAGCAGGGATCTTCATCTCTAATGGCAAGATAGCCGACATATTAAGATTGTATCCACTTTTTTGCACTTAGTAACTATATCAATTCTCATGTACAGAACCAAATACACAATGTGCTTGAATACTTCTCACGTAAATGTGAATAACAAAGTGTGAGGCCAGTCATACTGCCTCACGCATTTGTGAATAAGTTACCCTTTATGTGTAGAACTAAACAAATAATGTAAAAGAAATACTGTGTAACATTCAGTGCCATAAAATCCTGACAACCGGGGTTAATTATTATGACCCTTTGTAAACCCTACTCTGTAATCCTTTTGCGCTACCGCTCACAGGATGAGTGTGGGGTGCACAATAAAGTAGCCGCTGTAAGCGGCAAATTCAAAATCAAATCGCCACGTCCACCACTACCCCGCCACGCCCACCACTACCCGCCACGTCCACCACTACTTGCCGTCCACCACTATCCCACCGTGCGCCACGCACACCACTACCGCCGCGTCCACCATTATCCTGCCACTACCCCACCACGCCCGCCACGTCACCACTACCCCACTACGCCCGCCACTACCCCACGCACACCACTACACGCCCCCACTACCCACCGCCCCCACCACTACCCCATTGCCGCCACTACCCCACCACCCACGCCGTGGTGAGGGGCCAGGACGTGGTGGAGGGGGCCAGGACGTGGTGGAGGGGCCAGGACGTGAGGGGCCAGGACGTGGTGGAGGGGTCCAGGACGTGGTGGGAGGCCAGGACGTGGTGGGGGGACGTGGTGGTGGTGTGGTCCAGGACGTGGTGTGGGGGGCCAGGACGTGGTGTAGGGGCCAGGACGTGGTGTGGGGGGGCCAGGACGTGGTGTAGGGGGCCAGGACGTGGTGTAGGGGGCCAGGACGTGGTGGGGGGGCCAGGACGTGGTGTGGGGGGGCCAGGACGTGGTGGGGGAGGACGTGGTGGGGGGGGGCCAGGACGTGGTGGAGGGGGCCAGGACGTGGTGGAGGGGCCAGGACGTGGTGGGGGGCCAGGACGTGGTGGAGGGGGGGCCAGGACGTGGTGGAGGGGCCAGGACGTGGTGGAGGGGGGCCAGGACGTGGTGGAGGGGGGCCAGGACGTGGTGGAGGGGGCCAGGACGTGGTGGAGGGGGGCCAGGACGTGGTGGGGGGGCCAGGACGTGGTGAAGGGGGCCAGGACGTGGTGGAGGGGACCAGGACGTGGTGTGGGGGGGCCAGGACACATAAAAATACATTCCCATAGTCGAATATAAATGAATTATTACAAAATATATGAATAAATTTAATAATGCATCTACATAACACCTGGTTCCTACGCAATAGATAAAAACTCCATCGATATGTATACAAAAACCACTAATGACAACGGTGACAAGGCCACTTACCTAATATAGCAGACGAGTGATGATGACCTTGTGTTCTGTACTTAATCCTTCGTCTTCTCTGTCTCTCTCCCTTTTATTTACTTTTTCTTATTCACACTCCTCACTGTTTTCTCCCACAAATGAAACTCAAACATCATAATTCTGTATGACGTCACTGAGCATTTTGTACGTTTTTTTTCCAATGTTTGTTTTTTATCGTTTATGCCCTGATGCTATTGTTTACTTTCTGGTGGTTATTTGTTTACTTCCTGGTCGCTATTGTTTATTTCCCGATGGTTATTGTTTATTTGGTTGCTACTGTTTACTTCCTGGTGGCTGGAAGGACGAGTCACCTTGTTTAGTCATCGCTGTCACAACATTCAGTCTGTATTGTATTACCTTTCCTCTCACTTGTTATATAAGACAAAATAAATTATATTATAGTCTATATATCAGTAAAATATAAATATAATATAGTGTAATAATAAAATATGTTTGAATTTATTAATATCAGTGGTAATAGCAAGTAAGGGAGGTCTCATATTTTTTTATTTCGCCAAACGTGTTATTCTAAGGTGGCAGGAGTTAATATTATTATTGATTTTACATAAATAATTGGGATCACTTGAAGATGACAATGACAAGAATGATAAGATGGTTAGGTTAAACTAGATTAGGTTAGGTTAGGTTAGCAATGTTGCGATTAATCTTACGTTGAATTAAGCTGCTTGGGTTATCTTCACATGATAAAAAAATCTTATAAAGTTACCAAGAATAGTTATTAACCTTCTGTGTTTACAAATGTGATTATGGACACAAAACACTCTAGCTCGAGACGCTGCATAAAACATAAAATCCCACCAATGCCTCCTGTTGACAAGACCCCATCACTGCCACCACTTAACCTGCTCACGGCACGATTTTTTTTTTTTTTTATTGGGCACCCCCCTACATCCTTGTGTAAGGTGAAGCGCAGAAGCGTTTACAGCGCCCAACAGGGAAGCATGCAAAGTTCATGCTTGCCTTTATGTCCCATGAGTTAAGGGCGTAGAAGCCTGAAGAGTCAATGGTTTATGCCTAAGCAAGTTATTGGAAGCTCCAACAACTTGTCCCTGAATACGAAGTCGCAACTTTCGATTTACAGCAGGTACCTACATTGCTGCTAGGTGAATAGGGACCAAGGGAGGCTGGGAAGTATGTCCGAACAACTTTCCACCGGCCCGGGAATCGAACCCGTGACATCTCGCTTGCGAGGCAAGAGCGGTACCGTTCTACCAACCGGCGCCCCCCACGGCACGATTTGGACCTTAGCTTTTGTGACCTTGGCCTAGCTTTGACCTTTGACAGATTTTCTCCAGTTTTAAATCCATCCGTTCTCCTAGACCGTCTGACAAACTTCCCTCATCTCATGTAAATTGGTAAGTTGTTTTTTTCACACACACACACACACACACACACACACACACACACACACACACCTCAGCTCAATCACCACTGCCACACACACCTAAATACACACTGAAACATACCCCCTGCCCCCACACACACCTGCGGTTGAAAACTCGCACGTCAGGTAAAATATAGGTGTAGTGGCGGATCAGGAAGGTGAGTCAGTCCCCTGAGGCAGGCAGGAGGACCTACCACCACCACCAACCTCTGAGGCAGGCAGGACCTACCACCACCACCAACCTCTGAAGCAGGCAGGGAGGACCTACCACCACCACCCTCTGAGGCAGGCAGGAGACCTACTACAACCACTACCACCAGCAGCACCACCACCCTCAGCGACATGGGAGGACTACTACTTCCACTAACACCACCCCCAAAGGTAAGGAGGATCTACCACTACCACCACTTTCCTGAGTCAGACAAGAGGATCTACCACTACCACCACTTTCCTGAGTCAGACAAGAGGATCTACCACTACCACCACAAGCACCACCTCCACCCCCAAAGGTAAGCGGGAGGATCTACCACCACCACCACTTTCCTGAGTCAGACAAGAGGACCTACCACTACCACCACTTTCCTGAGTCAGACAAGAGGATCTACCACTACCACCACAAGCACCACCTCCACCCCCAAAGGTAAGCGGGAGGATCTACCACCACCACCACCCCTGAGGCAGGCAGGTGGACCTTCCACCACTACCACCCATCAACACTAGCGAACAACACCTCACAAGACGCTACATTTATCACTTACAGTTATATGTGTATATACTGATGGACCAACACTTCCCTAAATAAGCCTCACTGTTTCCTTTAAAGAGTTTATTGTTGGCAGTTTATAACACCATAAGGACCTGTTGTTGTTATTTAGGTACTGAAGGTTACACCGTCTTAAGGCATCATTCACAGTGTCTTGGTTTCAACATTAAAAAAATTGTTTAAAGGCACAAGGAAAGTTAACTATTTTGTACTGTGGAAGAGGTAGGGTAGGGTGAGGTAGGGTATAATAGGTTTGATTAGGATAGGTTAAATTAGGTTATATTACGTTAGGCTAGGTAATAATAGGGTTGGTTAGATTAGGCTAGTGTATAATAGGGCTGGGTTGGTTACGTTAGGTTAGGTCCCTTAAATGACCCTTTGTGAATCGCTGAGCTGTACAAGAACGAAGAAATATATACAGTATGTAAAGTACAACCAATTACCTCCTCGTGCTAACAAGTGTGTGTAATGACAAATTCATTTATATATAAACCCATACACATTAGACAGATGTTTCTATCTAGACAGGGACGAGCACGTGTATATAAAGAGAAGCCTGGCGTTTGGATAAGAGGCCAGAGCATGGTGCCTACAGGAGCTGCTGCACCTCTGATAGCCAAGATTCACTCACTCACTCACAATTTATGATCATTGCCACTGTAACCTGATGTGACATTTATGATTATATGTTAGCTGATCTGTCTCTCTCTCCTCTCTCTGTCTCCGTTTCTGTTTGCCAGTCTGTATCTCTGTCTCTCCTCTCTCACACACACACTGTCTTTCTTTTTCTGACTGTCTCTCACTCTCTTTCTGTTTCTCTCCCCCCTCCCCTCTCTCTTTCTCTCCTTCCTTTTGTCTATCACCTTTCTTAACTATTTTCTTATCTCGACAGTTTCTCTTATTGATTAATCTGTCATTTACTCTTTATGTCTGACTCTTTCCCTCCCTCAGGCTCCCCCTCCTCTTCTTCCTCTCTCTATCCTTTCTTCATCTTTCCCTTCCACGTAGACAGACAGACAGACAGACAGACAGACAGACAGACAGAGAGAGACAGACAGACAGACTCTCCCTCCCTCCCTCCCAAACAGACACCCCTTCGCCCTCTCATCCTCCCTACTTCTCTCAGACAGACAGACAGACACAGCAGGGAGCGACCATCCGTCATCTAGGACTTTCACACACACAAAAAATAGAAGATCTGAACATACCTTTTACATTATGCTCAGGTTAATTACCATAAGATTATAGACAGGTGAAGAAAAAATGTTAATGGTGATTTTTCTGTGAGATGTATTGCTCTCTCTCTCTCTCTCTCTCTCTCTCTCTCTCTCTCTCTCTCTCTCTCTCTCTCTCTCTCTCTCTCTCTCATGTGTTATCAACCAGGAGAAAATATTTACCTAACTGGGCGCCATCTCCTTCAACTGTGTCCATACCAGAGAGGAGAGAAAGAAAACAAAGAAGAGACAGAGAAGAGAAGAAGAAAAAGACAGAGAGAGAGAGAGAGAGGTTCAATGGCTAATAATAATAAGTTCAGTAATACATTATAACACCTACATCCCGACCCATGTCAAACACACACCTGTCGAAGCAGAGAGTTGGATCACCTGATGATTAATGCTCCTACCTGTACCACCGAGGAGTGTTGGTGAGTTTTAGGGAGTGTTGGTGAGTTTTAGGGAGTGTTGGTGAGTTTTGGTGAGTGTTGGTGAGTTTACGGGTGTTGGTGAGTTTACGGGTGTTGGTGAGGTTTAAGGGTGTTGGTGAAGTTCAGTGAGTGTTGGTGAGTGTTGGTGAGGTTGAAGTGAGTGTTAGTCAGTTTAACAAGTTTTGGTGAGTTTAGTGAGTGGTGAGCTTAGTGGTGTTGGTGAGTTTAGGGAGTGTTGGTGAGCTTAGTGAGTGTTGGTGAGTTTTAGGGAGTGTTGGTGAGTTTTAGGAGTGTTGGTGAGTTTTAGGGAGTGTTGGTGAGTTTTAGGGAGTGTTGGTGAGTTTGCAGGTGTTGGTGAGTTAGGGGTGTTGGTGAGTTTTAGGGGTGTTGGTGAGTTTTAGTGAGCGTTGGTGAGTTTTAGTGGCGTTGGTGAGTTTTAGAGTGTTAGCGAGGGTTAAGGGTGTTGGTGAGTTTAGTGAGCGTTGGTGAGGTTTTAGGGTGTTCGTGAGTTTTAGTGAGCGTTGGTGAGTTTAGGAGTGTTGGTGAGTTTTAGTGAGTGTTGGTGAGCGTTGGTGAGTTTTAAGGAGCGTTGGTGAGTTTAAGGGCGTTGGTGAGTTTAGGGAGTGTTGGCGAGGTTTAAGTGAGTGTTGGTGAGTTTAGGGAGTGTTGGTGAGTTTTAGTGAGCGTTGGTGAGCGTTGGTGAGTTTTAGGAGCGTTGGTGAGTTTTAGGGAGCGTTGGTGAGTTTAGGGAGTGTTGGCGGGTTTAAGTGAGTGTTGGTGAGTTTTAGGGAGTGTTGGTGAGTTTTAGTGAGCGTTGGTGAGTTTTAGGGAGCGTTGGTGAGTTTTAGGGAGCGTTGGCGAGATTTTAGAGTGTTGGTGAGTTTTAGTGAGCTTAGTGAGTGCTGGTGAGTTTTAGTGGAGTGTTGGGAGTTTTAGGGAGTGTTGGTGAGTTTTAGGGGCGTTGGTGAGTTTTAGGGAGCGTTGGTGAGTTTTAAGGGGCGTTGGCGAGTTTTAGGGAGCGTTGGCGAGTTTTAGGGGCGTTGGCGAGTTTAGTGAGCGTTGGTGAGTTTTAGTGAGCGTTGGTGAGTTTTAGTGAGCGTTGGTGAGTTTAGTGAGCGTTGGTGAGTTTTAGGGGCGTTGGTGAGTTTTAGGAGTGTTGGTGAGTTTTAGGAGTGTTGGTGAGTTTTAGTGAGCTTAGTGAGTGCTGGTGAGTTTTAGTGAGTGTTGGTGAGTTTAGTGAGCGTTGGTGAGTAAGGGAGTGTTGGTGAGTTTTAGGGGTGTTGGCGGGTTAAAGTAAGTGTTGGGAGTTTAAGGAGTGTTGGTGAGTTTTAGTGAGCGTTGGTGAGTTTTAGGGGTGTTGGTGAGTTTTAGTGAGCGTTGGTGAGTTTTAGGGAGTGTTGGTGAGTTTATGGGTGTTGGTGAGTTTTAGGGGTGTTGGTGAGTTTTAGGGGTGTTGGTGAGTTTTAGTGAGCATTGGTGAGTTTTAGGGAGTGCTGGTGAGTTTTAGTGAGCGTTGGTGAGTTTTAGGAGTGTTGGTGAGGTTTTAGTGAGCGTT